CTCCCCCGTGTCACCCAGCCCTGTGACTGAACAAGTTATTCTTCCCCTGCCCTGTCCTTAGCCATGCCCGGATGTGTACTGGTTCCCCCTGCTCTCAGACCAGATGTGTGATGAGCTGGTGGAGGAAATGGAGCACTATGGTCAGTGGTCAGGAGGCCGGCATGAGGTGAGAGGGGCTGGGGAAGGGGAGAAGGGAGGATCCCTTCCAGGAGAAGGGAGCTGTTGGGTCCGATGGAGGGAAAATAGTATCAGGAGAGTGGGAACAGAGAGCGGTCCCCACGGGGATGGGCCCACAAGGGTCACAGCTGCATTTATTTATTCATTTATGAAGAAATCCTTATTGGGCAGGTCCTCTATGCCAGCCCCTGAAGTGCACTGTTGACTTATGCAGGCCAAACACTGCCCTCTCACCTGTGCTGTCAGTAGCAGTAGCACTCCAGGTGCTGTGGGAGCCACAGTAGGGGCCCTTGGCCCAGACTTGGGGGACCAAGGGACCTAACAGAAGAGGTGCCATCTTAGCTGAGACTTGGACAATAAGAGTGGGTCAAGCTAAGAAGTGGTTGAGGCTGTTCCAGACGAGGGAACAAGGGGCTTTAAGACCTGGGAGCAAGAGGAGAGGGGAGGCTGGCACTGCTTTGTCAAGGGCTCAGTGCCCACTGTCCACAGGACTCAAGACTAGCTGGAGGCTACGAGAATGTGCCCACCGTAGACATCCACATGAAGCAGGTGGGCTATGAGGACCAGTGGCTGCAGCTGCTGAGGACATACGTGGGGCCCATGACCGAGAGCCTGTTCCCAGGCTACCACACCAAGGTGGGCGCTGCTCCTGCCACCCTTCCTCCCTCAACCTCCCCACACCCCAGTCCCAGACCCCTGCAGCTACTCCCATTCCTTGGACAGCAGCTATCGCTTCCTCAGAAGAGCCCCAGGACCTGAGGGTCATCCCTCCGCCTCTTTTCTCATGTCCCCACAGACCCGGGCAGTGATGAACTTTGTGGTCCGCTACCGGCCGGATGAACAGCCTTCTCTGCGGCCACATCATGATTCATCCACCTTCACTCTCAACGTTGCTCTCAACCACAAGGACCTGGATTATGAGGTGAGCCCCTAGCGTCTTCCCACTTCAGGGCACCACCAGGGCCCCTGCATGTGTGCGCGTGCGCACACACCCACACACACACACACACCCCTACTAGAACCTTGTGTCCACTCCCTTACTCCCCTGCACACAGCCTGCCCCCTGCACATTTCCCAGTTATTTTGCTGCTATCCTCTCCTGGGTCACTTCCAGGCTGGCTCCTGCCCGCTTCCTCCTGTGTCTCCCCATCGGCTGACCCCCCTCCCTTATAGCTTTAGTCTGCCTCTTGTATCTGTCTGCCCCAGCACCATGTCTACTCACTCTCCCCTTCTGTCCCCTTCCCAGGGAGGTGGCTGCCGCTTCTTACGCTATGACTGTGTGATCTCAGCCCCACGCAAGGGCTGGGGGCTTCTGCACCCGGGCCGTCTCACCCACTACCATGAGGGGCTGCCTACCACGAAGGGCACTCGTTACATCATGGTGTCCTTTGTCGACCCCTGACACTCAACCACTCTGCCAAACCTCTCCTGCCGTTGTGCCTTCTTATGCCCCACTCCTGGGAGAGGGTCTGTCTGGCTCTTCATCTACTGAGTGTATGTTCGGTGTGTCTGGGAATGGATGTCTCACCTCGCTCCCCAACCCCCAACACACAGCCCTCTCAAGAAGCTCCTGGAGCCCCCTTGCCCCTCCCTTCAGCCCCCAAGAGTTCATGGGAGAGAGCTTCTGGGGTTCCCCATGCGATAACTTATTGTTTCTTAGCCTCACTCCCAATAAAGGAGGATTTGTAATTTTCGAGTCCTTGTATTATCTTTCATCTACCTATTGGCCTTGCACCCCTCCTGCCACCCAGAGTGGAGAGAGACCAGAGTTACTCCAAAGAAAGAGAACAGAGAAGAGGAAAAGGCAGAAGCAGCATGTGTGGGAACCTGGGAGCTTCCCTGGATCCCAGCTCTCACTGCCCTTCATTGCCTGAGCTTGGGAAGTGCCTTAGAAGGGCCAAACCAAAAGGACTTCACTGTCAGGTTCTGTTGAAAGCCACCCCCGCCCCACTGTCCCGCATTCCTCCCTGATAGCATCTGTCATCACTTGATGGCATCTTTACATGAAAGGCGGTGGCATATCCCTGAACTGGGCACCAGGGACTGTGGTCAGAGAAGGAAGGCTCCCTGGGGGCATGTGTTCTATGAGGGAAGGCAGGCAGGGGCCCGACTGCTGCTGCTGGGACCTAAGCTTTTAGTTGGGGGGGTATCAGGAAAGGAGAAGCCCTGGTGGGTCATTCCAAGGAAAGCCTCCTGGAAGAGGAAGATGGAGCAGCCTCGGAAAAGAGACCTCCTGAGAGCAGGTCTTGCTTCCAGCCTCTGGGGGCCATCAGGCCCTTGCCAAGACCCCTTCACCCAGGGACCCTGAGGCCAGCCAGCCACGCCCCTTCAGCTGGGTCTTTCCCAGCCTTGCATCAGCCTATCTTCTCTGAATTTATCTTCAATTGTTCGCTTGCAGAAGAAGCCTTTTAAAAACCGAACAGGCCTGTTCACCTGTCCCAGGAAATTTCCTGCCTCCTACACCCCACTTGCTGTCCACTTTATTCCTGCCTGACTCCCGGGAAAACTTCCCTATGAAACCTTCCTTCCTGGGGGGTGGGGCAGGTCACCTGAGTGGGTGGATCGCCTTACCACGCCTTACCACGAGGACTGAGCATTTCTCTGGCTAGACTTTTAAGTTCTCTCACCCTGGTGGTGGAAGTATGCTGAGCAGGGACAGCAGAATATGCCTCCTGGTAAGGTCCCTGGATAAGGAAGCCTGCGCCAGAATGGGACAGAAAGGGTGTGCCAACCTGGGCATTGGAAGCTGTCTCCTACAGTGGGCCCATTCATTTACAAAGCATCTCCCAGGGCTGCAGTGATGAAGACATTACCTGCCTCTTATTGCTTACAGTGTAGGGGAGACCTTAATCTGAAAATTACCATAATGGAGGGGAAATTTTTATGCTAGGAAAGCAGGTGACAGAGGCACTTGTTGGGATGGGTGTCAGACTTTCCTAAAGAAGTGACATTCCCTATGCCAGTGTATTCTGTCCTTAACAAGGCCGGACCCCCAGAGAAGCTATGCAGCCTAACAGAGCCTAACATATTGGAGTTTTATCAGACCTTATCAAACCTGGAGAAAGAGAAATGTACAGTCGGCCCCCTCTAGCCACCCTGCCGCACCTGGAGCAGACTGAGAAGTGTGGGAGACCGCCTATTGTCTTCACTAGCAGAGAGGTGTGGACAAGGAACCCGGAAGGCTGGTGATCCTTGAAGCCCTTGCAAAGGTCAGGGCTGTGCACCCATTGTTAGTCCAGACAATGGTAGCTGAAGCAACTTCCCCATTTATTATTATGTAATCCTTGCTGATGGGGTAGTCTGCCTGTTACTGGAAATTGCCTGCCTAAGGGCTATGGGTGTATCCCAAACCAATAAAGGGTTGGCACGGCCTGAGCACCAGTGAAAGTCCTTCTCCTTGAGTTGGACTTGCCCGTCTGGTCCCCCAGTATTTCCAAATTATCTCTTGTCTTTTCTCTTTCATTTGTGTGCGGCTCCTCTTCCAGATCCTGAACCCTGAACCATGCGTGATGTGGAGGGAAACATTTACCACAGAGAAGCATGCGTGGAGTTCACAGTTCAGGGATACAGGCTCACTAAAAGACTGAGGCCTTGGTCATAGGACTGTAGACGAAGTGCTTCCCCTTCCCCACACCTTACCACCACACCACTAAAGGCCTACTTACTATATAGTTCCTTTTATCTAGTACTAGAGGCCCGATGCATGAAGATTCGTGCAAGAATAGGCCTTCCTTCCCCTGGCTGCCAGCACCGACCTCCCTCCGCACCTGGGACCCGGGCCTTCACTCCAGGCCTGAGCCACCTCCCGCCTTTGCTCTGGGCCGGAGCCGCCGCCTCCATCTTTGTCATGTCAATTTGCATATTCCCTCTTTATTGGCTGTGGGTGCTGCCATCTTTGTTGCGAAGTGATGGACAATTTGCATATCCTGTCTTTATTAGGTAGGATATCATGCCTGGCTTTCAACAAAAAATTGCAAGATATACTAAAAAGCAAAAAGCATAGTTTGAAGAGACAGAACAAGCACCATAACCAGACTCAGATAAAGTAGTGATGTTGGCATTAGCATACCTGGAATAAAAAAAATAAAAGAAGTGACCTTCCCTGACCTGGAGAAGGTGCCAGCTCCCACAGGCCTCTGGTCACGGGTTGGGTAGGGTCATGGTGATAGTGAGGACTGGCCCCAACCCACTTGGAGGGGTGCCCACTGTTCAGTGGGCCCTCTCTTGAGGGGCTCCCAAATCCTTAGCTTTTTCCACAAAGCCCTTCCCTCTGCAGCGTCTCTGCACAGAGTCCTAGGCTGCCTAAAGGTTTTCAGGCTGTTCTCACTCATGTTGGGAGCCCTGCCATTCGTGGCACACACCACTCTGGCAACATCCCACCCCACCTCTGTTAGCTCTTCACAGAGGTGGAACCTCCTGACAAACACAAAGTCCAAACACCTTCCTCCCCCATCCACCACCCCCCCTCATTTCCATGAGCTCAAGTAGTGGTTAACCCTTCCTTGCCTGAGCTCATCAGAGCCTAGTGCAGCTGTGGGCAAACTACGGCCCACGGGCCAGATCCGGCCCGTTTGAAATGAATAAAACTAAAAAAAAAAAAAAGACCGTACCCTTTTATGTAATGATGTTTACTTTGAATTTATATTAGTTCACACAAACACTCCATCCATGCTTTTGTTCCGGCCCTCCGGTCCAGTTTAAGAACCCATTGTGGCCCTCGAGTCAAAAAGTTTGCCCACCCCTGGCCTAATGTGTGCAAGTCACCAAAAGAAATGAAAATGGGGTGGAACCGGGGTCAGGGCCAATGGGTTGGGCCAAAAGGGGGTATGCTTAAGAGATCAGCGTGACCCCTGTGCGACTCCCCTCTACAGAATGCCGGCCTCTTCCAGCCTCTTCTGCCGGAGTCTCCAGGTGTTCGCTGTCCTACAATGGCTCTTCCTCTTCTTGGGGCTGTGTGAGTCCCTGAATCCCTGGACCTAACCTCCACACACACACCTGAGGCTCTGCTGCCCCATGACCACAGGGGGGAGGTGGGGCAGGGATCTTCTGGGTCCTTCAAGGAGTGAGAAGGAATTAGTTGGGATAGGGAAGGGAGTGGGCAAGGGGGAGACCTGGAACTTAAATGCCCAGGTTCTGAGACCCCCCTTCCCCATCCTCCAGCCCAGGTGTGCCTGGCTGTGCTGATCCTCGCACTCCTAAGCCGGGCCTGGATACTAGGGGTCCTCTACCTGGCCTGGCTCTATGGAGACAGGGACACGCCACAGACAGGAGGTCGCAGATCTGCCTGGGTCCGCAACTGGGCCATCTGGAGACATTTCCGGGACTACTTCCCCATCACGGTGAGGGCCCCCAGGAACCCCCTACTGGGTTGGGGACAGATACAAAATAGACCCTTGGAGTCATCTTCCCCAAACGTCCAATCTCACCGCCAGGGCGGGTTGTGCACCCTCTGCCCCCCAGCTGGTTAAAACCGCAGAGTTGGATCCCTCCCACAACTATCTCTTCGGCTTCCACCCTCATGGCGTCCTGGTCATCGGGGCCTTCAGCAACTTCTGCACAGAGGCCACCGGCTTCTCCCGCCTCTTCCCTGGCCTCTGCCCGCACCTGCTCATGCTGCCCTGTTGGTTTCGCCTTCCTGTCTTCCGGGACTACAGCATGCTTAGTGGTGAGGAGTGGGGAACCCGAGCTTAGGAGCCAAGTCCCTGCTGTCACCTCTTACCTGCCCTCCTCCCGCCTGGGGGCTCCTGGTCCCAGCTCTACTTTCCCAGTGCCCTCCCCTCCCGTCTCCTCTAGAAGACCAAGGCGCCAGGGCCACCCCCTCCCCAGCCTTTGCCTCCTCCCCAGGTTTGGTGTCCTCAGCCAAGGCCAGCGCCGCCTATCTGTTGTCCCGGCCTGGGGGCGGCCAGGTGGCCGTCCTGGCCGTGGGAGGGCCCCTGGAGGCGCTGGAGGCAAAGCCCGGAGCGCTGAGCTTGCGGATCCGGAATCAGAAGGGATTTGTCAAGCTGGCGCTGGAGCACGGGTGAGGATGCCGGGGTGGTCGCAGGAGCACGCCGCTGCCGCTGCTCGGTGCAGGGGGAGCGCGGCGCCGGCCGGGAATCAGGCTGCCTCTCCCCGCCCCCCGCCCCCAGGGCCTCTCTGGTGCCTGTCTTCTCTTTTGGGGAGAACGAACTCTACCAGCAGTTCCCGAACCCACCGGGCTCGTGGGTGCGGATGGCTCAGGAAGCGCTGCAGCCGCTGCTGAGGGTGTCCCTGCCGCTGTTCCACGGCCGCCTGGGCCTCCTGCCCTTTCGCAGGCCCATCTACACCGTAGGTGAGCCCGGGCCGCGCGCTCCCCGGGCCGGACGGTTACGGTCCCTGGTTGGGGTCTAAGATCCTGAGCAGCCGCCGATGGCGGCCACGCCGACCTCACCCTCAAGCTGGCCTTTGACAACTGTTAGCACCATGACCTCGGTTCGCTCCGCATTCCGCCCACAGTGGGGGCCCCGATCCCGGTGCGGCGGAGCCCGCGGCCCGGCCGGGCGCAGGTGGACGCGCTGCACGCGCTCTACGTGGAGCGGCTCACGCGGCTGTTCGAAGAGCACAAGGAGCGCTACGGCGTCCCGGCCGACCGGCACCTGGTCCTCACCTAGGCGCGCCGGCGCCTCCCACCCCTCCCGGCCCCCTATGACTGTGGTTGGGGGTGAAATTAAAGGCGGGAACAGCCTGGCGGTGTTTGTGTGTTTTGCCCAGAGGGGAGGTCTGCGCGCTCAACTCAGCCCTGTCCCACCCTCGCCTCCTCCCTGCTCGGCTCCACTCCCGATCAGACAGTCTCAGTTGGGCTTCTGGGCCCCCCGGCTGCCGGGGCCCAGCCCTCCGGCTCTCCAGCGTCATCTTAGTCTCCCACGGTAGTTGCCTCACCTCCCTCCCACAGCCTCTCGCTCCTCCCAGACCCGCCCTGCAAGCCAGCCCAGACTGACTGACTCAGGGAGCTCAAAGATCAATCCGAGAACAGCCTGGACACGTCCGACTCGAACCATCTCCCCGTCCACACCCCCCCCCCCCCCACACACACACACATACACACTCACACCGCCCCACCACACACGCATTCCCGGAGGTCCAAAAGGCTCGGCCCCTCGGACTAGAAAGCCTTCCCAGGTACTTTTTCTCCTGGGGTCCTGGAGCCCTGCTGGCCCAGGGCTGCTCCTGGGATAGGAGTCTCCACCATCCTGCCGCCCTCTCCTGCACCATGAAGACCCCGAAGAAGCAGTGGCTGGACGTAGTGGGTGCCTACCAATTCGTGCTCACTTTCCTTTTCATGGGTGAGAGAAGTGGAAGAGGCATGGGTGCTGGGGGTCCGCAGCGGGAGAAGAGACTGGGGGAGAAAAGCTGGAGCGCCACTAATCCGGGTGCCCAAGAGCAAAATGACAGGGAGAGGGCCAATGTGGGGCTGGGAGGTAGCGGAGGGTATGATCCCTGCGGGTGGAGGAGAGGGACAGCTGGATGACATGACTGAGTTTCAAAGGCTAATTCATTTTTATTCTCTCATCTTTTACACAGGCCTTTCTTCACTCCTTCTTGTCTTCTCCCTCCTCTTCACGTCCCTCTGGTCACTCTCTGTTCTCTACTTGGCATGGCTCGTCCTGGACTGGAACACACCCAACCAAGGTGAGTACTGGAAGGGGGCCATGTATTGGGAGATGGCAGCTGGGCTTCCTCCACGCATATCTCTCTACCCTAAGGTGGAAGGCGGTCTAAGTGGATAAGGAACTGGACCATTTGGAAACACCTAAGGGATTATTATCCTATCAAGGTGACTGGTTACCCTCCAGAAAGACTCTCTGCCCCCTTCCTCTCCCCTGCCCCCCCCCCCCACCTATTCACCCCTAGTAGTGCAGAAGCCTGAGCCCCAGCTGCCTAAGCTAAGGCAATGGGGCAGGGGGTGGAGTGATGTTCAAGAGTAGCCCCTCTGTGCCCTTAACCCCATCCTTGATCTCTGAAATCAGTTGGGGTGAGGGGGGGGGGCAACACTTTTTACCTGGTGTCCTGACTTCTATGCCTTCTTCCCCTCATCCTACCCAACACCCCAAAGCTGGTGAAAACAGTAGAGCTGCCCCCTGACCAGAACTATGTGTTTGGCTCTCATCCACATGGGATCATGTGCATCGGAACCGCCTGTAATTTCTCAACCGAGAGCACTGGCTTCTCCCAGAAGTTCCCTGGGCTTCGGGCCTCACTAGTTGGGCTGGACGGACTCTTCCACATTCCAATCTATCGAGACTACCTCATGGCCACTGGTGAGCCTCCATGTGAATGGGAGGAGGTGCTCTCTGGCCGGGGTGACCTCCACCCACCTAGCTCAGAGACCTGGTCTGAACACTGGCCAGGGTCACAGTGGGTATCAGTGAATAGCTTTGGAACAAGTGTCCTATGGTGTCCTTGCTGGGACAGACACTATAGGGCACAGTGACATGGGCATGGTGGGTAGGGGAGTTGGGAGGAATGGGTAGGCTGAGGGGCTGGGGAGCCAAGGAAGGTGTGGTGACTGCTCCCACTTTCTCATGCCTGCCTGCAGGAGTATGTTCTGTGAGCCGCCAGAGCCTGGACTTTATCCTGTCACAGCCCCGGCGTGGGCAGGCCGTGGTCATCCTGGTTGGGGGTGCCCAAGAATCCATGTATGCACTCCCAGGGGTGCATCATGTTGTTCTCCAGAATCGCAAAGGCTTTGTACGCCTGGCGCTGAGGCACGGGTGAGAGGGGTGCGGGTGACCAGTCCAAGGCTGCTTTTAATGGTGAGAACTTCACAGCGCACCTTTGGGTGCACGCTCTCCATCCCTACACACCCGGGTCCCTATAGGTTGTTCTGCATCCACACTGGGCCCTATACCCAGAAGGTGCTCATGTCAGTGCTTGAGTGTTTACTCTGTGCCAAGCACTATGTCCACTTTGCAAGCTTCCTCCCACTCCAAGAGAGCCAGGGACATAGTACAAACAGCGGGGCACAAAGCCTTCTCTGATACTATCTCAAAGGCAAGACCTGAGGCATGTTGCTTTACCTGTGAAAGAGTTAATACCTACCTTGCAATGGTTTGGTTGTAAAGACTAGATGAGGAAATGTGTACATGAAGGTTCAGTACACAATCTTTTCTCAGGAAATGTGAGTCCCTTTTTCCAGATTTTTCATAGTAGCTATTGTCATTTGCTTTAAAGGGCTTGGGAAGTGGAATTATGAGGTTATGCTGTTCTCTGGGGCTCCCATCCTTGGGGTACTCCAAGAGCTGCTGGCCCAACCACCCTTCTTCTCTATTGCCCTTCTTTCCCAGGGCCTCCCTGGTACCTGTGTACTCCTTTGGGGAGAATGATGTCTTCAGACTTAAAGTTTTTGCCACAGACTCTTGGCAGTATCTGTGCCAGTCCATCATCAAGAAGTACCTGGGCTTTGCTCCTTGCATCTTCTGGGGCCGCAGTCTCTTCTCAGCCAACTCCTGGGGCCTGCTGCCCTTCCCTGTGCCCATCACTACTGTGGGTGAGTCCTCATCTCCAGGGAAGAAAGCTGCCATCAGCTGTGTGGGCACTTCTCACCTCATCTGTCTCCCCTCTCCCTGCAGTGGGCCGCCCCATCCTGGTGCCCCAGAGCCTCAACCCCACTGACGAGGAAGTTGACCACTACCACACACTCTACATGAAGGCTCTGGAGGAACTGTTTGAGGAGCACAAGGAAAGCTGTGGTGTCCCTGCTTCTACTCACCTCACCATCACATAGCCCTGGCCTTGCCCTGCCCGCCAGCTCCTGAGCTCCTAATCCCAGTGCACTGAAACACCACCCCCCCCCCCACCACCACCACCACCTACTGCTGGGTCTAGTCCTCCAATAAAAGCTAGTTCTCACCCAGCTGGTGTGCTCAGTGGTCAACCTATATGAACCAGGAGGTCACAGTTCGATTGCTGGTCAGGGCACATGCCCGGTTGCAGGCGTGTAGGAGGTAGCTGATCAATGATTCTCTTTCATCTTTGATGTTTCTTTCCCTCTCCCTTCCTCTCTAAAATCAATAAAAACATTTTCAAAAATAAATAAAATTAAAAAAGCAAAAGCTAGTTCTCTTCCATCACTACTTCGTAGAATCGGATGCTTGCAGAGCTGATGCTCCTGCTCTGGGAGTTAGCATGCCCAGGCATAATCAGCCCCCATTCTAACGTGCTAGAGTTGCTGCCTTAGATTGGGCATCAGGACCCTAAATTCTCCTTCCAGTGAAAATTAATTCTGTTGCATGACTTTGCATAAGTCTCTTTCTTTTTCTGGGCCCCTTCTCCCTCTGTAACTTAAGGCATCTGCTTAGCTAAGAGCTGTGGGATATTTGGACTGAGTTTGGGAGGGTGGCTGCAGGAGGGTTAGGCTTTGAAGGGTAAGCAGGATTTAGGTGAGTGGAGAAGATAGTGTGGGTAGTGGAATGCTATGAGTAAAAGCTGAGCTTGGTCAAGGAGACCTGACAGTATAAAGAGTGGAATGATGCCCAGTAGTAGAAAGACAGTTAGGTACATAGCTTGCTTCTCTGTACTTCTTCCTCATCCTTAAAGTTTCCTTGGGGCTGGGAGATCAGATGAAGCAAGGATTTGTTTTACCATTATTAAGCCCTACTGCTAGCCCAGCATTAGGTCACCATTTACTCATTTGCTTAATAAGCATAAGATTATTGTGAAGACTAAAGAATTAAGATTTAGGGGCTTAGAACAGAGATAGGCAACACATGAGCCAATGAGAATTGACTATAATCATCATTGTCATTATAGTCAGGGTATGAGTCAAATGAGAGGATAAGGTTAAACAGCCTAAGGGTCCTTATGTGGTTGGTCCTTATGTTGTCAGTCCTATTTGTTGACTGGCTTTGTGTCTGTAACCGGGGTTTAAACAAGAATAACTTGTTGGAATGTACTAGTAATTGGAATGCAACTGTATTTGTCTCCCACTTTCCTATAAAATTTATTCAATGGAAGAATTTTCTCTTGTCCCTGAATGAAAATCTGGGCAGTACCATAACTTAACTGGGTCATTCTCAGGTGAGAAGGTCTACATTCACTTTAAGTTAGTACATAGAAATGTTTAGTTCATAATCAACACTTGGATCTTCATTTGCAGCGGTTCTCAACCTGTGGGTCGCGAACAATGAAAATACATCCTGCATATCAGATATTTACATTACGATTCATAACAGTAGAAAAATTACAGTTATGAAGTAGCAAGGAAAATAATTTTATGGTTGGGGGTCACCACAACATGAGGAACTGTATTAAAGGGTCGCGGCGTTAGGAAGGTTGAGAACCACTGATTTAGGGGTAGGAATTTTCCCCACTCCAACAAGGGCTGGTTGCAAGTGGGCTGCCTGCTTGTCCAGAAGTAGCAGTTGGGGAAGGTTGAGTAGAAAGGGATGGGGTATACCTCTTTGGTCCCCCTCCCTTCCTAGCTGCTGTTATTGATCTTCATGGGGTTGAAGTGTGGGGCAGAAGGGAAAGGGGGCCCCAAAATTGTTGATTGCTCTGTTATATATTCTCTGGGCCTCCAGAACCTCAAAGTCTTTCCCTTCTGGGTACTTTCATGGATTCTTCAGTTTTCCCTTTAAGGCCCCTCTCGCAGCTTCTGTACTTTCTCTACGTTATTATCTGTCCATGGTTTTCTGACATAGGTTTCTCTGTAGGAGTTCCTTCACTCTTCTAGTTTGGGTGTTGGGGAGAGGGCTGGAATAAATCTGCTTTAGCCTTCAGCCTCCGTGGCTCCTATCCCTTTGGAGTGCAGGTTGGTCTCAATGCAGCCACTTGTTCTTCTTTCTGTCCTGGATGGAAGGTCCAGTCAGCCACAATCTGGTCACTGGATTTCTCCGGTGGGTACATCCCCCAAATGCTGGGACTTACCAAGCTCTTTGTGTCTTGAAGCCTTTTGTCACTGCTCTTGTTGAAGTGAGCCTTGCTCTCTAGGGGCAGGGCTTGCAGCCATCTAAAAGTTCTTCCCCAGCCCTGGCCGATGTTGCTCAGTGGTTAGAATGTCAATCTGAGCACTGAAGGGTCTTGTGTTCAATTCCCAGTCAAGGGCACATACCTGGGTTGTGGATTTGATCCCCAGCCTCAATGCAGGTTTGTGTGGGAGGCAACTAATTAATGTGTCTCTCTCATCTCTCCCCCTCTCTCTCCCTCTCTCTCTCTCTCTCTCTCTCTCTCTCTCTCTTTCTCCCCACTCCTTCCCTCCCATTCTCTCTAAACAGCAATAGAAAAAATATCCTGGAGTGAGAATTTTATAAATAAATAAATAAATAAATAAATAAATAAATAAATAATAAAAGTCTTCCCCCAGAGCGGGGGGGGGGGGGGGGCCTTGGGGGGCCAGACTGAATGAAAGTAGGTGCAGGGATTAGCCAAAGAACATATATACATAACCCATAGATATAGACAACAGTGTGTTGATGGCCAGAGGGAAGGTGGGCTGGGTGGACCGGGGAGAAAGGGGAGAAAGTGGGAACATCTGTAATAGCATCAATAATCAAAATAAAAAAAGAAAAATATCCTGCCCTGACTGATTTAGCTCAGTGGATAGAGCATCAACCTGTGGACTGAAAGGTCCCAGGTTCCATTCCAGTCAAGGGCATGTACCTTGGTTGTGGGCACATCCCCAGTAGGAGGTGTGCAGGAGGCAGCTGATCAATGTTTCTTTCTCATCGATGTTTCTAACTCTCTATCCCTCTACCTTCCTCTCTGTAGAAAATCAATAAAATATATTTTTTAAAAAAGAAAGATATCATAAAGATTAAAAAAATAAAATAAAATAAAAGTCCTCCCCAACCCCTCTCTCCATCTCTAAACTGATTTTTGTCCCAGGTAAGGGTCTCAAGAGTTACTTCTCAACCATTTGCTTGAAAAAATGTGGCATGTAGTCTGATCTGACCCTTTCGGAATGGAGGACCAATTTATCGTATCTTCGTGCCTCAGCCCAGACCTCAGTGTTAGCATCATGTGTGGTTTTCTCTGGGTTCTTCCCCTGAGGGGCAAAAGCACCACCTGGCCACCAAGAGCTGGAGGTGTGAGGATTAGATGACTGTGGGCCTCCACCAAGAAGACCTCTGTTCTGCTTTCAATGTGAGCAGTGAGTGTCTCTTTCTAGAGTGGTGGGCTTGGGCTGGGTGGTAGGTGAGGAATGGGACCTTTGTGTGGGTTTGGGGCAGGGAAGAGGGGAGTTCATTCTCCTGTCTGAAATCCAAGACCAAAGAAATCATGGTGGGGGGAGCAGATTGGCCTGAGGCTGGAGAAGAATAGGAGCAGCCAAGAAGCTTAGTTAAGAAATGGTGTTTGCCCAAGAACCAGAGATATGATAAAAAGGACAAAGTGCTCTCAGTACCTGAGAAGCCAGTAGGGCAAGGTTCTCAGGAAAGGTGCCAGGTCTGATCTTAGAGGAAGACTTGCGTGGGGACAGTCTCCTCCATGTGGAAACCTCTGGGTTGGGGGAAAGAGCACAATACGAACCAGAAATGCACAGGGAGATCAAGATCAGGTTTCTGTCTCTGGGAGAGAGACTTGGCATGAATATGTGAGTTTTGGGGATAGAATACAGCAAGTAGAATGTGTTGCTACTGCGCAGTGTTGTGGAAAGATTATCGGGACAAGACATGGAAATGGCAACACTGGACAATGACAGGTGTGCCCCTCCATTAATATCCCTCCAGGATCTGTTGGGTGAGATCAGTGCCACTTCCTTATTCATTATGCCAGCTTGGCATCCTTTCTGTTCACTATAACAGACCACAGGCAGCCTTCCCCCACCACCATCCACCTCTGAGTGTGCTGTCCTCCCCAGGAAGCCAGCCCAGACTAGGAGGAAGCCCTAGGATTCAGAAGTCCCTGCTATGACTCCCAGCCTTTCCTGAGCTTCCCCAGGTGACCTCTGCTTTCATGCTCAGATCCTGGCCTCACTAAGGCAGAGGTCCTCTGGTCCCCATTTTCCCGGTCATCTGGTTTTCTAGCCTTCCTTTATCAAGCATCCATCTTGGGTGGGACTTGGTCTAAGACAGTGGTCAGCAAACCGCGGCTCGCGAGCCATATGCGGCTCTTTGGCCCCTTGAGTGTGGCTCTTCCACAAAATACCATGTACGTACATTGCAATGGAAACTTCATGGCCCATGCGTAGAAGTTGGTTTTTGGTTTTCGGCCTGGGCGAGTCTATTTTGAAGAAGTGGCGTTAGAAGAAGTGGGGGGTGTTGGTCGGTGGGGCGACAGGAGACGCGGCGCGGGGGAGGTACATTGTTTTGAGGTACGTTCGCTGAGGTCGACCCCTTCCAACTCTCCCATCCACACTTGTCTATCTGAAACAAGTATACAAGACGAGTGTGGATGGGAGAGTTGGAAGGGGTTGACCTCAGCAAACGTACCTCAATCAGGTTGAGGACGTCTTTAGCAAAGGCCAGCTTAGGAGTACCCTAATTAAGTTAATAACAATGTACCTACCTATATAGTTTAAGTTTAAAAAATTTGGCTCTCGCCCTAACCGGTTTGGCTCAGTGGATAGAGTGTCGGCCTGCGGACTGAAGGGTCCCAGGTTTGATTCCGGTCAAGGGCATGTACGTTGGTTGCAGGCACATCCCCAGTAGGGGGTGTGCAGGAAGCAGCTGATCTATGTTTCGTTCTCATTGATGTTTCTAACTCTCTATCCCTCTCCCTTCCTCTCTGTAAAAAAATCAATAAAATATATTTCAAAAAATAAAAATAAAAAATTTGGCTCTCAAAAGAAATTTCAATCGTTGTACTGTTGGTATTTGGCTCTGTTGACTAATGAGTTTGCCGACCACTGGTCTAAGAGGCTGGAGCTTCACATGGAGAAGAGTAGAGAGTCCAGGTGCCATGTCCATGTCATACAACTCCCAACAATATGTGCAGACCCCAGACCACAATGTCCAGACAATGGGCACAGCCTGCTAGACCGAGCTACCAAGTGAAACACTCAGAAGGGCATTTTGCACATCAATCAACTATTTCCCAGCGGCTGCTGTCATAGGGGTTCCAACTAAATCTCATATTGGAACTAAATCCTCCAAACAACTGTCAATTTGGCCTTTGGGTTGAGCTCGGCTGTTGGGGGGCAGGCTCAGACCCTGGCCAATGCTGAAGCTCCCTAGTAGTAATCAAGTCTCAAAACAGGATGAGCTCAAGCCAGGCCCCAAGAGCAGAAGGCCTGTCCGTTCCAGTTCCCGCCTCCAGGTCCTAGTTCTTGACTGAGAAATATGCCCCAGGGCTGCCCTGGTGCTGTGATAATGGTCATTTATTGGAAACAGAAATAGGACAGAGTTGGAAGGTATATATATCAAGGGGCAGCTTGTCAAAACCTGAGGTGCCATCTTAGCATATTAAGGGAGCAACAGGGAGAAGGGGCCATTGAGTGATCAGAGGGAGAAGGGTACCCATCTTTGAGTCCCACAGACCTGGCTTTGAATCTCAGCTATTGACCCTGACCTTGGCCACGTCATTTAATCTTTTCAAGCTTTAGTTCCCCCCGGTAACATGGGGCTACCTACTTCAGAATTGTGTGTTGTTGTTTTTTTACTTTTTATTGAAATACAACACAGACAAGTGCACAAATCATATGACAGAGCTTGAGTTTTTCCCAACTGAACACAAACAGGGTTATTTTGGGAAGTGAATATGATGCATACAAGCACATGGGACAGCAGCACAACGTCTTTGTGTTAAGGTTGAGGAAAAGTGTCATCCACTGGCTTCCCACCACTCTCTACTCTGAATTTCTCTGCTGGGTGGGTGCTCACTCACCCACAATGCAGCTGGGAAAATATTTGCAAGCCTTTTTGGAGCAAAGAGAAAGGCCAGCTCTGCAGAGGGCTGAGGTAGGGGGGAGCCCTCAGAACAGAGAGTGGAGTCGACCCAGCAGGCCAGAGGAAATTAGGACAGGTTATGTATC